CCCCTGAAGAACATACCCTGTTGAAATTCAGGCTGCAGGATTCCAGGGCTGTCTCCACGCGCTTCTTGTCAGCCGAGAACATTTTGAGAATACTGCAAGAAGCAAACAAAAGCAACAACAAAAGAAAAAAAATCGAGTTTGACAGCCCTGGTCTAGGGTCTCTTCCTGCTCGAGCAACAGGTTGGACTAGATGACCTCCCAGGCCCCTCCCCACTCCGTTCGAATTCTGCCAGCCTAGAATCTTCCGGCAAGGCTCAAATGATTTATCGCCATCAAACTAAACTTGGAAAGGGGAAAAAAAAAAAAAAACACACACATGCTTGGAACCAAACCAGCCTGGCTGGGCTTATCTCTCCCACGCAGAGAAAGGAGGAGGTTATGTCAAAGGAGCTGCGAGGTGTAGATTGTTCCTCACAGCCGCACCACTTTCTGTGCTTTTGGACAATATTCAACAGGCGGGCCTTTCTTCCCAGGCTGGCCTGACTTTCACCGACCGCAGGCAGAAATGGGTGCTAAGCAATGCCCTGGCTCCTGCCTCGCCTTCAGGGAGGAGGCTGAACGGTGGCATTCGCTCCCAGCCAGCCAAACTCCCGAGTAAACCCAGGACAGTCCTGGCCAAGCCCAAACCTTGTCAAGCCGGAGCCAAATGATCTGCAGTCCAAATTTCCAGCCCTTTTTAAAATAAAATAAAAATAAATAAAAATCTTAATATGAAACTATAGGCTGATCCTCGATTTACGGACGCAATTTTTTTTTGGGGGGGGGGGGGGGCTGTTGCTAAGCAAGGCGGTTTAAGTGAGTCACATCGGATTTTACTTCTTTGCTACAGAGAATGAAGGGAATCGCCGTTTGACTGACTTTTTCAGTGTCCTTTTAACTTTGCACAATCACTAAAATGAAGAGTTGTTAAGTTGGGGACTTCCTGTATGTTCGTTATCCCATGCCTGGAAGATTTGCAATAATATTCTTTAAATTATTTCCTTCCTGCCCTCCCTCCCTCCCTTCCTTCCTCCCTCCCTCCCTTTTCCTTTCCCTTCCCTTCTTCGTCCATTTACTTTCTTTTCCTTTCTCTTTTATCTTCCTTCCCTTCCCTTCTCTCCCGTCTTCCCTTCTCTTTTCCCCTTCCTTTCTTTTCCCTTTTGCCTTCTCTTCCCTTCCCTCACTTCCTTTCCTCTCCTCTCCTCTCTTCTATCTTCCCTTTCTTTTATCTTCCTCTCCTCTCTTCTATCTTCCTTCCCTCTCTTCTATCTTCCTTTCCTTCCCTTTCCTCTACCTTCCTTTCCTCTTCTCCTTTCTTCTATCTTTCATTCCTTCCATTTCTTATATCTTCCTTCCCTTCCATTTCCTCTATCTTCCTCTCCTCTCCTTTCTTCTACCTTCCTTTCCTTCCCTTTCTTCTATCCTTCCATTTCCTCTATCTTCC